AAAATTATATTTATCATTTGTATCAACAGTATTGTAAACTGTGTCCCATGACTCCTGCAGCAAGTAATCGATGAATCATTTTATTTTACTTTTAGTAAACAATCTACCCAATACATACCAGTATTATTTATTGTGTCAGTGTTCGCATTTCTTATAATAGTAAGAATTTGTGCATTGTAATCACTGAATACTACATCTTTTATTTCCATTCCGTATTGAGCAGTGGTTTGGCTAATTATTATTTGATTGATTGCCTTCTTATAATTGTAAGAATTTGTGCATCGTGATCACTGTATCCTAAATCTTTTATTTCAATTTCTTATCGAGTATTGCTAATTATCATTTAATTGATTGCCTTCTTTGAATTTAGTGTGATCCGTGTAGGTACATTTATTGTAATATCTTAACTGAAGGAATGAAATATAATCTACAGCTCTCTTTGTTGGAAGTCTGCAGATACAAAATAATATAATTTTTAGCTTAGGTAGATACTACAAAAATTTCAAAAACATTTTCAAGTACACATTTATTTCTTTCAAGGTGATAGAATTGATATTATTTCTAACGTAAATACAAGAACCCCCATTCATTCATATTTTGTTCTTATCTGGTTTTGGTCCAGTGGGTTTCTGAGAGGGAATATTTTCATGACAATAATGTTTACAACTTTTTTAACAATATATTTGTTTATTTTCTTGAAATATTCAAGTGTGTATTAACATAATGGTACAGAGTTGCTTTTTGAGACACACAAAATACATCCCTTTATTACAATTGTGAGTCTTAAAAATAGCGCATATATTTACACAGTTACTCCACTTCACACACATTTACACACTTAACCATAGAATATGTTACAAGTGGCTTATTTCTGAAGCCAAACCTTATAATTAGTCTTAACATGGTTTATAGTTCATCTGTGGATCACCTCTAGAGTTAAAATTATTTCTTGAGGTTCCAAATAAATACATTGTTGAAAAGTGAAACAAATACAACTAATAAACCTCATTCATAGTATTACAATCAATTCCCACTGATCACCATGTATAATGTCACTTTACATTTTATACTTTGGACAATATGAAGATCATAACCATGAATGATGGCCAAACTAAGTTAGATAGGTATGACTTTTGACCATTTGAAAATACTGTACAAAAATAACATACATTGAATAGACTGTTTGTATAACATAAATTGAGTAATATTTATCATGTAATATAATTTCCTAGTCATCAAACCTTATCTTAGTTTGGAAATTAAAGAAATGCCATTGTAACTCTGAGTAAAGAAAATAGGTATTCAGAGTTTCTTAAAATAAAAGATGAGATGTAAAATAAAAAGTATAACATATCTCAGTTCTTTAAAGAAAAATAGTCTAGTAATTAAAAGTAGGGTTAAACTACAAAAGAGAAATATTTAAATTTTACAAAAATAACAAAGATAACTTGGATAAATAGATTTTTTTTTTTGAAGAATGTAACTACAAAAAATAAAGCTAATAGGTGAAATGGAAAATGTCCTTCCTGATAATATAGATTCTTTCAGGTATACAATTGTTGCACAGGAATAATGCACCATTTCATTAACAATAAAAAATAAAATTTTATATTTGGTAAGAAAAGAAATTTGAGAAATATTGCATATTGAAGAAGAAAGATCAGTCCTTGGAAAGTCAGTGGAGAAAATTCATCATCCATCAAAAATGTGGAAAAGATGTTAACCATTTCAGGTCCAGCACCATTTCTGTTTTCTAACTTGCACTAGTCTGAAAAGACATGACAGAGAAGGTTATTATGAAAAAAGAACACGATGAATTACTGCTCCCAATAAACGAAACCGACAACCAATACCACACCGTGAACTGATACAGTTCTATAAGAAACAAAAGCCACCAGTAAGAGTTCACCTAAAAGAATTTATAACTCACAATCCTATGATGATCAGAGTAACCCAAAAATTGAATTTATTTTTCATTGTGAGAGGGCACAACACTCTTTGCAAGAGTTCAAAGATCGCAGTACCCAAACAGATAGACGTGCAACTGACCAACAATCATCATGGATTGTTCAACCAGCAAAGTGCATGGAAACCAAAGGCCAGTTGTCTCTCATTAAATAGTGCAGTGTCAATATATACACAAAGATCATGCCAAAAATGAGACTTGGATTGTCCACCCTTACACTTCTGAACACTTTGCCCCTCCCATATGCAAAAAAAAAAATAATGGGAACAGAAGGTAGGAAAGTCAACAAAGAAAAGTTACTGAGACCTATACTATAATTTTCAAAATTCAGGAAAATTAAAATGCATTCTTGGTATACTTATGGGGAATTATACATTCATAAAACAACAAAATAACATAATATTAGTACTTGAAATTATCCAGAATTACCACATACTGAGCAGAATAAGTACCAATTTCTGATGAAAAACAATCTAAACTTTATATCACTGGGCTTGTGATTTAAAGTCACTGAATTCCAAATATTTACATGAAACTTTAGTATTAATACTCAATTCAAGATCAATGTGTATAAAACAAGAGAAAAAATATAACTATGATACTGAATCACTGTTCTTCAGTTCAATTAAAATAGTTCTCTGGAGGTCAAAGATATACAAATCAAAATAATTTTTCATTTTGAATATTCATTTCTTAAATGCATGAGTTCCGTAATTTGTAAATTACATAATTAGCAATACATTGTTGGGAGGTGGGGCACGCACCTGCCTGAGCTTTCCTCGGCCTCCAAAACTACGAATTGCATCCATTAATTCATCACGTGGATTTACTTCTGGCACAGGGAAAGACTTCGGTCGTGATATTTGAGTCTTCTTTGGCAGAGCTGGAGCACTGGGAGGTTCTGGAATCAGTCGACTTCCATTTGTTGGTCCTTGTGATGGTTTGGAAGCTGATGCAGGTTGAATTCTTAAGTTAACAACAGGTGCAGACTCAATGACAATAGAATTTCTTTGGTTTGGATTGTGAAAAGAATTATTTTGTTGAACCTTCACAGTCACTGATTGTTGAGAATTTTGTGGCACTTTATATGAGTCAGCAGCAACCAAAGATGAATCAGAATAATCACTAGTAGCAAATCTGAAACCTTTTACAACTGGCATTGGATGTCTTGCATTGAAGGCTCCTGTTTGTTTGGAAGCAACATTTGTCCCACTTTTTTGAGTGGTTATAGCAACTTTTGGTACAAATTGGTTTCCATCCTGTGTGGGTTCCTTGAAACTTCCTGATGAACTAACTCCATTTACACCCACCACTGATGTATATTTTTTTACATTATTTTGAGCATTACTATTATTGAAGTAATTTGCCTCTTTCAAATTACTTTCGTTCTTCATATCTGAATCAATTTTTGGCTTTGGGTCACTGGGCAGGTATGCTGATAGAGGTCGTTTATTTGTTGCATTGAATTTTATTCCTTCTGAATTGGAAGCTGCTAAGGAAAACCTTTTTGCAAGATTGTTAACACCTTGAAACGTTTCTTCAGCATCATCATCATCTTTATTATTTTTATCATTATTGTGGATTCCATTGACAGGTACACTTTTTAAATTATTATTTCCTTCATTCCAACTTAATTTGATGTTAGTGGTATTGGGTTTCTTTTCAGGTTGTGGCATAATCTGCTGCCCCTGAAGGAAGGATTTCTTCAATTCCACAGCACGAACAATTGGAACCCGTGATGGATCAGCTATTTGAGCTGAATTGTAGCTGTGGATTCTTGTAATAGTGTGATGAGATGCGGAAGCATCCTTTTCTTTAGACTGTGTCAGATCTTGTGACTTCGATGTAAAACCTGTAGTGGCTGGACTTATTTTTTTGAAACCTGAGGGAGTTGTGTGAGAAATTATTCTCATTGTTAGAGCTGTAGGCTCCACTTTTGCATGACCATTCACATGTGTCATGCTTTCAGATCTAGTGAGCGCCGCAGGGTTTGCTTTTGAATCCACCTGATCTTCTGAAATTTTCCTTTCTCTTGCCTCCAGCACATTCTCAAGTTTATTAGGTATTGTGGGACCTGAAGAATTTTGTCCTTTTCCAATTCTGTAGTCATTATCAACCTTGAGACTGACTTGGCTTTTTGGTCTCTCACTCCATGTAGAAAAGTTGACTGCTGGAGGACCTTGGTATGAATACCGCTTAGCTGCGTTGGAAGCATTACTTGACTGTCTTCGAAGTTGAACTTCATTTGCACTTGATGATGAAAGTTCAGATGCATCAGTGTTTTCATTACTATTGGGCTTTGAGGAATCACTGTTCCTGAAAAGAAAAATAATGATTATTGTTGAAAGTGTTTTAGTTCACACAATCTACTTCTGATTGCAAAGAAAACAAGCATAAAGAAACAACAAAAATACAAGGTACTCTGTGCAGTCTGAACACTTGTACATATTCAACATAACATTGAAATAGTGTAATGAGATGTAATGATGTACATTGATAGTGTAATTAGTCTGAGATTATGCTGTTAAAAAGATAAACATTTTCATGACCTTTGAAACTGAGATATATAAAGTACTGGTTGAGTGAACTAGATAAATTACTTACTTCAGGTTGTAAGAAGGTTCATCTGATAATCGTTTTTCTTTTGTCTTGTCTCGAGACGCATCATGACTAGGACTGAGTATTCTTCTCAGTACCTGAAACAAAAATTTCAATTCATGAGAGCTCCAGTATTTTTTTGGAGGTTAAACAAGTAAAATAATAGTACTATTAAATTTCCTGTCGTTTGTAATCAAAGTCAATATGAATTGTTTCCAAGTGATGAGACTTAGGCCATCAGCATATTTGCGGTCAATGTTAGCTTTGCTGACGAAAGTAAGTTTACCTAGTGGCAATCAGATGGCAGAAATAGGATACAGTACAACTCAAGAGACAAAAATATCATGAAAACAAAATCTGCAGCAGATTTTAAAGTACGGCAGAAGCAGCATCATGGTGCAGAGTGTATATCTTCGTCTGGAGTTGGATAATTGGGGTTTGTAGAATCTAAGCCATCCAAATGAGATATTTAAAATCAATTTTGAATGTTGCAATGAGAGATAAGATAAGAAATGAAATGATCAAGAAAACAATTAAAATTAAAAATATTGTCTCAGAAATTGAATACTGCCAAAAGAAATAGCAAGAACACACGAAAGAATGAAGATAGAATGTTTCCCAAGAAAAGTTCTCAAATTCAAATGAAGAGGAAGAAGAGATCCTGGAAGACCAAGAATGCAATGCGAAGTTCAAGAACACCTCGGAAGCAAATGATATTGATAAACATTTGCATTTTCCAACTTTTAAAAGCTCAGATATTTTCATTGAAACCAAACCTACACCATAATACTACGAGAACAAAGGCAAAAAAATGCTTTGACTGCCCTCACAATGAAAACTGCTTGTATTTTCAAAAATATTGTATCTAGGTTATTTAAAAATCAATTTTTAAATAACACAATTCACTGAAACAAATCTCTCTTTGTCAATGTAATTGGTGAAGAAGTAGACAAAATTTGAAAATTTTGCAATTCGTAAAAATTTAGTGGTTTTAATAAATTTTCACCTACACTATTGGTAAAGCATTAAAGAAGGACTTTATTCTCTTCAAGAAAATAAACATTTGAAATTTGAGAAATCACATCTGTCAGGTTGATAGGGGTATATCAGTTCTGGGGAAAATCCTATGTATGATTTAATAACATTAGTATCATAACAAGCACATGGAGGGACAGATGTTTTGCCAGAAACCACTCTTTTAGAATCATGGGCTACAAAACATTAGATACAATCTTATATGCTGATGATCAAATAATCGTAACAGTTGATGACCTGCAAAGAACAATTTTTGAACTGACAAAAGAGGCCCAGAAATATTCTATGAGAATATCACTTCAAAGTACAAAAGTTATGGCACTGCAAGGCAAAGAACAGAAGAGAGCCAAAATTGTAATAAATGGAGAAATAGTAGAACAACAAATTTTCATATCTTGGAAATATCAGAAGTGTATTTAATCACACCCAGGAGGATTTAAAAAATAAATTGTATAAATACAACAGAATCTGTGGAACAATTAAACCACACTTTAGCAGACATATGAATGCAAAAACAAAACTAAAAATTCACAATGTAGCATCTAAACCTACAGCTATGCACAGCTCTGACACATGGATAATGAAAGAGAGACAAAAAATACAAGCAGTTCATATGAGATTTCCGAGACATCTTGTACGGGTAACAAGAATGGGTAGATTGAGAAACAAAGACATTAGAAAAGAAGAAAAAACTAAAATCTTTGTAGAGGAAATAGAAAACTCTCAAAGAAAATGGAAAGACTACCTTAAAAGAATGAACAATAACAAATGGCCAAAATTAATATGGAAATAGGAACAGAGATTTTGGAAGACCATGAAAAAAGTGACAACAGAAGGAATGCCTGGAAGACTAACTACCTTCCTAATAGTTAATAATGGAATATCTAACATCTACAGTTAATGATGATGATCATCACAAAAAAACAGAGAAGTCCTACCCATTATTTACAAATACATTTTTAGAGTCAACTATTGCACTTCTGCACTGTGAATTCATTCCTGACATATATTCCAGTCAAATCTATAAAATAAACCGTGTTTATCACTTCTTCAAGTGCTGAAGTGGAAGAATGGAATGTAACATATTTTTCAAAAAAATTTTAACAAATTACTAAAACTCAATATTTGAAGAGTAACCATCTAGCCCAAAATACTTACTTGCAATGACTGAAGTGGTATATCTGGCTGTGTTTCACGCAACAATTGCTCTTGCCATTGCAAGAACTGATCCTGTAATTCTGCTAAACGACTACTTCTTCCATAATCTGATAAAAAGAAGATTAAAATCATCACAAAATCATTTATATTGAAATAAACCAGGTATCATTAGATACATCTTAAGTACCTTAAACATCCATACATCTAAAGTATCTCAAACATTTTATATTTTATAGATTAATGTTATTTTATAAAGGCTACACAAACCTTGATTAATATTAGCTTCACTTGTTGTTTTGCGAAGGCCTTCATGACCATCATGCATTCTGCTTTCTGTTGCCTGTGATCCACATCCCTCCCAAGATGTTTCCATGGCAAGATTTCCAATAGATTTTGCACGTAATGTGCGACCTGAGTTATTAAAAGTCACATGTGATGTAGATCGTTTCACTGGTGCTCTTTCAGATTGATGACTGTTTTTTGTACTAAATGAATTATTTCTGGGGATATTTGTTGAGCTGTTTGAATCTTTTCGCTTAAACACAGATGTTTCTAAAGGTTTCTTAAATTCAGACTCTTGCTTTGTTTTTTCACTATCACTTTTAAATAAAATGTCTGTGTCATTTGGCCTTTGGTACGCAGATATTGTGAAATTTTTTAGCTGATTTGTTTGATGATTTTCATATGAACTTGTGGATTTATTTTGACTTTTTGGTTCATTGACAGAGTCCAACGGAACGCCAATCAGCTGAGGATTCCAGTCTTCTTCATTTTTCATTTCATAACTGTTTACCAAGGAAGGTTTGTTTTCTTTGGAATGTTTAAATTCTTCAAGAATTTCTGCTTCATATTTTTCATCATTGAAAAGAGGATTGACCTTTGTAACACCTTTAACTAGATTTTTTATCAAGGGACATTCCTTTTCAATCATCAAACTAGTCAAACTAGTTTCAGCTTGTTGGGAAAATTTGTCACTATCGGTAAATTCTGCTGGGGGAAGAACTTCTGGGGTTGATTCCTCAAAAGTAGGGACTTCTGATACATTGTCTGTTTCTGTAGTCAAAGTTGGAGATAGAGAATCACGAAAAGCTGATGGTGGAGCTGGTAAATGATATTCCCAATCCACTAGACTGACGCTAGGTGACTCTGTTTTGGGGCTAGGCAAGTTTGCAGCAGAAGAAACCTGAAAATACGAGAAAAAATCAGTTAACTTTTCCCTTGTATTAATAAAATATGAGCTTAACAAACAGTAATACCTGAAGATATTCACATTCAGAATGAATTCATTGGGGGAAAAAAAAAATGGGTGAATTACAATCTATTATATTACTGTGGACAATGCAATTATCCATTAAAATGAGTTGATTTTATATGATTAAAATTTATTAAGTGAAGCAAGAAAAAATTCTAAAAACTATGGAGAATCCAAGGATAGTTTTTCTAAAGAAATCAACATAAAATATCTCATTCATTCATCTAAGAAGTTTGATTAAGTGATAAAAAGGAAGTCAATTATGGGCAAGTATAACAGTTTCCTGAAATGTAAATAACAATTAACCTTATGAAACTGACATTCTGTATTTGGTCTCTGAACTATATTTGTTACTTATGAATTGTTAGATATGTATTATCTTTACATTTGTTTTACTCTTACATAAGCTTTATAAGCCTTATAATTAATATGACACAATAAATATTACATTATAATTAATATCAAGGTAACTGTATATAGTAACAATGTTTTTGCATCATCATCATTATTACTATGTATATCAATACAATTTTTGCTAATATTTATGTAAATAAGTCACAGAAATATACAGGAAATACACAGTAAACTAACAATTGATGCATCTGCAGACAAAATAAAATTTTAAAAGATGTTTAATTTGAAATTAGTTAATAATAATTAATGTTCTGCACTATACAAAAAAAAAACAGAATTAAAGTTGACATTTGCATTTTAATTTTCATTTAAAAAAAAATGCTACCATTATGATTCTTCATATATTATGCGCACAAGTTTTTTGAGCTCCAGAAAATCTACCTCCACTCCTTTACCAACATTGGTTGAATGCAGAATAAATGACAGAAACAAGCATTGTAAACAAAATCTGATAACCAGAAATGTAATGAAACTATTTTGCTTCAAAAAACAAACTAAAAGTATGATATAAAATTATTTTTGTCAAAATAACCTGATTCCCCACTCCTCTCGCAACTAGCGAAGCGAGGGCTCAAGAAAATGTGTGCAGATAATACATTATCACTAAGAAACTAAGATGAGATATAAGCAACTGAATGTACACTAGGAAACCTAGATTCAGTCTCCAGTTGGTATGTCTAGTGCTTTGAACAATTCAAAATATAAAATATTCTTGTCAAACTGTAATAAGGTCACATTCTCAATCATTTACTGTACTCATATTTTGAGTACAACTGGAATTCCATAAAGATGTCAGGTTATTGGAAATTAAGTATTGCAGAAGGGGGCAGTTCATTGGTTGAAGGTTGGAAACACTGATAATTTCAATAGTTCAGGATGATAATAGCATTAACTAAGTGACCTGGTTTCAATTCCCAGTTGGAGTAAGCACATGCTCTGAACAAAGTGGAGGAGAAAGAATATGCTTTAAAATACTGAATTTGACGATATTTTGATGAATATAAATATTTTCTAAAATAAGAACACTACTTGGCTGACAAGTTAAAAAAATTATGTTTGTAAATTATATCTGTTATTATTAAATTATCAAATAGAAATATGCAACTAAAAAAGGGGGAAAAAAAAAAAAAGTAATTGTGTCTAACTGTTAGATTTTGACCTAATTCTTCATTGGATTTTGACCCCTAATGATATCTGGGTATTCTATTTCAATTACTATTATTCATATTCTTATTTACCTGTTTAGCTTCTTCGGCTAATATGACAGCTTGCAGTTCTTTAGTAACACTCTCAAATTCTTGTTGAATTTCATCTCTTTCTTTCTGTAATTCTACAAAATGAAACAGTATGTAAAAATCATAACCACTTGAGTAACAAAAAAAAAGGCTTGAATTTGTTAAGAGAATTTTGTTTTTATGCTGTATTTTAAAAAGACTCTCATGAAAGTAAAAACAGGATAGCATGCAATGGTTTGAATATCAATAATTAAATTCAATATTAAGGTTGATAGGAAAGAGAAGTGATTATTTGTATGTACATATTTAACCTTAAGATATTAAATTTTTATACAGAAGTTTTAATTTTTTCATTTAATATAATGATATTTCTTATTTGGTTAGAAAACAAAATCCATTTGTCACCCAGATTAGCCTGTAATGTAGAATTAGCATGCACCTGCACTCCAGTTTTTCCCACTGCCATGCACATCTTCTGAATTGGGCCAGCAATCAAGCTGGTCTCCCGTCTCCAAGGATGATGGAGCATCTTCCATGCTGCGTGGACTGCAAGGTCTTTGTTTCAAAGACATTCTGGTTGAAGGAGGTTGCAAACTATTCTTTGTTGACAAATGAAGTTTTGTAAAGTCTCGAGAACTAACAGAACTTCTATCCCAGGTTCCGTCAGACGTTTCATGCTCAGAGTCAAAAACTGAACTAGCTACAGAAATGCTATCAAATAAACTGCCTGTGTCATGTACTGTTTGTTCAGCTGAAGGAGAATCAATGTTACCACTCTTTGTTTCAAACATTTCAAGATCATTTTCACTAATATTGAGGGCATCGTCATCTTCATAGTCATTATCAGTTCCAAATCTTGTAATCATTTCTGCATCACTATCCAATGAATGAATACTCTTAGTACCAGATTCACTGCTCACAGAATTCCTAGCAGAAGAAGCTAACATCACAATTGTTTTACCAACACCAAATGTTCCACCAAATTTTCCACGAGTTTTGACTACCTCAAATGATCTTGGTGAATCACTTCTAGTCCCTTCAGAATCAAATGCAGAGTCTCTTTCTACTGAATCACTAAGCAAAGTCTGAGTTTCAGAATATTTAATACGTTGTGGAACACTTGGAGATTTTCGTGCCCTAGGACGTGGTGTAGGAGTGTTTCTGGAACTTTGTACAGTTAAACCACGAGGTTTTGGTGTTGGGGGAGTCACTTTTTCTGCTGTTAATGTTGTTAGTACATGGAAAGGAAGCAAAGTAAATACAAGAATTATGAATAAGCCACCAGTATAAGGCCAAGCAAACAAATACCAGCAAATAAAGTACAGAATAGGAAGAAATATGTATTATGGATTTGTCAACTGAGTTATAGCATTATTATACAAAGCATGCACTTTTGTACATTTCTTATAATTTACAACTGAAGTTATTTAAATGCATTCATTAGTTAAGGTTATTTAATAAACATGAATTAATCACTAATCAAGTATGTAAAAAAATTGTAACTACCTTTTTGTTTTATACAATTCTACCAAATTACTACCAATGCTATTAAGCAAACAAATTACACAAATTCAGCACGATTTTCTAAAACTTTTTCTAATTGTTTCAAAAAATTGCTCCAAGATTCAGAAGACTCATTTCTATTAATCTTTAAGTCTGGAGGAGGAGGCTCCAGCAAGCTATATTTTGGGACAGGTGAAGAATTTCTACAATAGGCAACTAATGGATCTTCTAAAGAATTTGGTAATGTTTCACACGCTAGCTTACCTGAAACTACATCGGGTAATGTAGGTCTAGGAGCAGCAACATTTGAAGTACTCTTAGCAGGTTTTGTGACAGCAGGCTCGCTTACAGGAGCTGTAGTTTCACGAATGAATGTTGCTGAATCTTCTGATGAATGCACTACAGGTTTGGTTATTCTTATTTGTGGTTGCGGTTCAAAAGGCACAGGTCTTTCTACATGGGAAGGGGTAGAATGACCTGAGGATTCGCTGGTGCTGTCTAATTCAGGATAGTTTCGATGATGCAGTTGGATATCTGGCGATTTTCTTTCTTGAGGCTGGGCCAGAGAAACAGGTATCTCCGATTCCCTCAATGAATTCAATGCTTTTAGTTCCTGCTGTGATAACTTGCTGGACAGATTCTGAACAGATTCATTGTTCGGTGAAATTGATTCATCTTCATTAATTGCAGTAATTTCCTCAGGGAGGCTCTCAGGTCTTACAATGTTCGATGTAGTCGATGACTGTGAAGAAGGAGGTCTTTCTAAAGTTGCACTTCGAGAGTATAGTTCTCTATCAAAGCTGTCTCCACTGCTTTGAGAAGAAAGGGTTGATAGAGATGCTGTTCGTTGTTCAGGCAATAGATGTCCAGGTAAGGAGGATCTTGCTGTTGCAGGAGGTGGTGGTGGTGGTGCTGCTTTCTTTTTCTTTCCATGCCCTAAAGAAAATTAAATACTTTTAAAATTATCCTAGACATCAAAAAATTTGCAAAATGATCTGATGCAAGAATTCCATTTATTATAAAAAAAAGAATATTATAAGTTTTGGTATGCCTGAAAGTTATATTAAACTAATTTTGGTGACATTTGTAAATCACCAAGTAGTTATATTTGTAGTTTACCTGAAGAGGCCAAAGATGTCGTTGATACACTGTGACCATTCTTTTGAATAGAAGATGCCATTGGTCCAGTTTTGTTTTCCCCATTACTCATGTGGGTAAGGTTTGACAATGATCGAGATAAATTATGGGATGTAGCAACATTTGGAGGTTGAGCAGAGTTGCTAGTGAGTTTACTTCGCCTAGGTAGTGTGCCTGATGGGCTACTGCAAAAAAATCACAATATGTTAGTATGGTTTGAAGGAACTGTACACAATTTAATTTTTTGGGGATTCATTTGTGACTTATAATTCAATTAATTTCACTGACATCAATAAACCCTGATTTTAAGTGGGTAAACCATGATGGTACATGTGACAAAAATAATATTGAATTGCAGGAGAATATTTTTTAATTAGTGTTACTGCAAAACAAACTTTATACTATGAAAGAAACATTGAATAACTATTGCAAACCTTGCATAAGTGTTACTTGATAAAAATATCTTTGATATAAATAGAGAATTATCAGTATTGAATTTTTATCATTTACTCATTGAATATAAAAAATAAAATCAAATAAAAAACAAAATTTAATTACCTTAAACCATTGCTCTCAGGACTTTCACTGAGAATAGATGCTTCATGATACCCACTGCTGTCTGAACTATTACGAGAATGAGAAATGACAGCAGGGGCTGGCTGCTGGTGTGGGGCAGCCTGTGTTGGAGGCTTGGGTGCAGGCCGTCTCTTGCGGGTTGGACGGGGAGGAGGCAGGCTTGACCCTGGTGGAGATGGCGTCTCATCTGATCGTGCTGGTGAAATGCTCCTTCCTCCAAGGCTATCACTGCTGATACTTCCATCACAGCCACTCTGAAAAAGAGTAAAAATTTTGAAGTCCAAATGTTTTTGAACATTTGTCGAAGTTCAGTGAACTGCAAAGCAATGGCCTTGAAATAGTAATTTTGTGCTTCTGCAGAAGTAAGAAGAAAGTAGAAAAGAAACCCAGAGAAGAAAAATCAAAATAAAATTAAATGATGATCATAATGAATTAAAAAAATATTGCCATAAAAGAAATATGCAGGAATGAAAAAATGAATGACATTATTTGACAAATAAAATGAATAGAATAATATATGAAAGAACAGATAAAATATAGGTAAAGAAGTCCATTGATTGATTTGAAAATTTATCTTACCGACTGACTATTTTTTCCAAGCATTAGCCCCAAAACTGCTGAACCTGTTCCTCCATTTGCTCTCACTTGCTGCCTTCGTTTTTCCTCTTCTTTTTGGAGGGCCATTATGTCAGAAGAAGACAGTCCAGATCCAAGAGGACGATTGCCTTTGGCTACTAAAGTAACTTCTTGTAGTTTGTAGTCTGCCAAAGTCCACTCTGGTCTGAGACGTTCTTCTAAATTTGCTGCAAGATTATGTTGTAAAATAATTTAGAACATCATTATTGCACTTATGGTTAGTCTTATACTTTGGAATACATAATTTTCCTCATAATTTTCTATCACTTTTAAGAAAACAAACACAGTACTGCACAAAATGATTCTACTAGTCCTACAGCAAGCAAGACTATTTGATAGCAAGCAGTTTCTTTGTGATTTATAGGCATCCTTTAGGCAAGCTACTTGACCAATTTATCTTATCTTTAAGTCTTTGACTTATCTCTAACATCAGATTATAACACAATCCAAATAAGGGCAACATAACTTAATATTTGACAGGAGACATTTGACCATAAAAAGGAGTATAACATACCTGGGTGACGGAGTTCGTATTTATTGGGATCTAGGTTCTTCTCAGTACATGCAAGGTTCAAAACATCTGATAATAAGCTTTTGGGGCTAACTCGAGTTACAAAAAGTTGATTCCTTGGCAAATGCACCTGAAACACAAATGTTTGTTTGGATTGTAAATATATAGGGACTACTTTTAATTGTTAAATGTTCAATCATACAAAGAATAAAATTTTGGTTCAAGTTCAAAGCACTTGAAAGTTATTTTTCTATTCAAAATAAATTATAGAAAAGGCCATTTTTACAATAAAACTCCATTACTATTTATTTTACTAATCTATGAAGTGGATTAAGTGTTAGAAAATAGCATTTTTACCTGTAGCCTAAAGGTTTGTTCAAAAGGCTGCTGGTTATTGGGTTTCAAAGGTGCCTTCTTCAGACTTGTAGAGCTGATGGTTCGTGTTTTGGGCACAATCTGAATTGTCCATGTGTCTAATGCACCAATTGGTGTGCTTGGTTTGTAAGGCAACACACCTCGCTCACCTACAGGCTGCAGGACAAAGCCACCAGGAGCCATTTTGTTGGCAGTTGTCACTTGCACCAACAAATCCATCATTGGTGTGCTGGAAATATATTTTGATATGAGTGAATATTCATCAACATAAGTCATAGAACACATCAGTCACATTCCTCAATGTGTGTATAGTTAAAGTGATGGCATTAATGCTAGGCATCTGACATGAACTCTTGGGGAAGGTAATTATTGAACTTTATGAACTACATAGTAAAGTAACATGAATGTCAAAAAGAACAATTTAATTTATGAATACATAATCAAAGTATTAAAAAAAGGTGCAAAAATTTACATGATGACCTATTTTAATGATTTAAAATTTACAATAATTTGTTTCTTTCGGTTATATAAATATGTTTAGTATTAAACAATGATGCAAAACCAATCTTGATGTTAGGTCAACATCAATAGTTTTCTAAATGGGCATCAATGTAATCAAATAGGAAGATTTTATTTAGTTTTTTACTCTCATTATTTTCATACACAAGAGTTAAGACCACAATTTTCAATAAGTAACACAGATATTTAAATTATTAAAATTATTATGATGCTATATGTCTTGACCTCTTGAATTTAAAATGGGATGTGGACCTAAAGTCTTAGTCAGTTGGCCAATACTTTGGCTGTTTATTATGCGCTCATCAGGGATACAAATGGCTTTAGCTATCAAACAACAATTCAAGACAAGTTCAATTCAACACTTGTTTTAGAATTGTTATTTGATAGCCCTAATATTTTTGTAGTCCAGATGAAGGTGTAATATGCAGCTGAAACATTTGCCAGTACATCAAATAATTATTCAACTGACATTAGTACTCAAGATTCACACACAAATTTAAAATTACTGCAGGATTTGAAATTATTTTATTTACCAAGCACCCCATATGATATCCACATATTTAAAATGAGATTCCTACAGAAGTCAATATTAATAATTATTAAGTTATTATTGGTTTTTACCTTTGTCTAGTTTTCAACATATTACTCATCATACAGGTCACACTTTCTAATTGAAAATAAATAATATAAAAATTATAAATATATTTATTTAAATAAATAAATTCACGTCATTAAATTAATTTCATTCCAATCAAAATTTAATTCAATTCAGTTCATGAAATTCAGTTATCACAGTTTGTGCGAACTGCAAAAATTCAAGCTCATTGTGTAAGAACGCAGAAGTTTAAGTAGCGCTGTTTGAACGAACTCGACGACTGCAACATGTGAAATCAAACACCAAAAAATATTTTTTATTGGTGGGCGCGAAGTCGGGGGGGGGCGGGCTCTCGTTCATGGGCTTGTGTAGGAGAGGGAAGCGCCTATCGAAAACGCATTCACATTGTTGGACGGATAACGCTATAAGTTCATGCAGTGCTTTTGATTCGGTACCCCGCGCACCGTAGTTCATTGCAGTGCTGTTTGATCGTACCCCGCGCCTTGGCAGCGTGAAATCATTGGTTGCCGGTTCGCGTCCTGAATGACAAGTGTATTTTGTTTGGAAACTACCCAAAATTGCCTGTACCGATTGACTGATTCATGCAATCGAGGAGCGTCAGTTACTACGGTTATTAGTCCCGTAAATATGGTGCACGTTTTATCCTGGGAGGGGGCCGAGTTCTTCTCCCGCTGGATCTTGATATCCGGCGCCGACCTACACGTCGCCTTGCGGGGTCCCCCCTCTAGATATCTCCCAGCAGCTGAGCACCGCCCTAGTCGGGATAAGCTCTAAGTGCCCGCAACTGCTCTCCCGGTATGTGTGGTTGAGCAGTGCATGTATGTATGTAAGGAGAAAGATGTAAGGATGTAGAAGGAAAAGTAGCAGTCCGTGGCTGTTTTGTTAGAGAACTACTTACGCTTTCACGTATTTATAGGAAAAATCTCAGAAAACTGCAGACCAGAACTGCTGGCCACCAGAATAATTCTCTTTAAGAACTGAATTATACTTCGATATTTCTATAGTGGCAGATGACCTACCTTCTGCCTGATAAAAATAATATTTTTAATTAATTCACGAACGTCCTCTGAACGGGGCTCGTGGCCTCAGAAATGTGCTTACGACAGTTAAAAAGATTCATTTCATGAGGCAGAAGATGTAACAATGACCTAATATCATCGGCCATTATAGAAAAATCGAAGTATAGCTGTACAGCTGTCGTTGAAAAATCCGCCAGCACCGGGACTCGAAACCTAGGACCTCCCGCTGCAGTGCCTGTCCCGTCACACCACTCACCAGCGCTCGGCGCTCATCTTGACGGCGCGGCCGCCGGGCAGCACGACGCGCAGATCCATGGAGCCCGCCAGCATGTCGGGCGGCGTGTCTTCCGTGACTGGCAGTGGGGGCGCGGGCGCCATCGCTCGGCGGCTGGACCTGCGCACAAACGGAAGCCATCACCCAGGCCGTTCTGGCACCCGAAGAACGCCAAGGTCGGGGACGTGTCAACGGCAGGCAGAAGCACAGAATAAGTTGCAAAATAATTGAAGAACCAACTATACAACTTTTATTGTTTTCAAGTGTCTTATATTTGAAGACAATCAGTAACACTATTCAATACGCAATCAGTGAATTGTATTTCATGCAATTCCAATTGTAGAAATAACTTGTTTCTTTTTTAATTTAAAGCGCGTTTCACGAACTAAGTGTTCGCTGCTTCACGTGCATACATTATAAATACAGCAAAATGATTTTACAAATAACAATAATACCTGTTAAAGATAAAATTACAAGCAAATCATGCAAATACAATATACAATTATAGGAGAGGCTCACCTTATGATCTTTAAAAAAAATTATGATGATATTTTATTTTAATCAAAATATGATCATATGAAATGGTAAAAACATTACACTCTTGATTTGTATTTATATAACCTATGTATGTACCTGAAGATGCGAACAATTAGTTAGTGAAACGTGCTGTCAATAAAAAAAAACAAGTTATTTCTATAATTGGAATAACTCAAAATGCAATTCACTGATTGCGTTTTAAATAGTACTATTGATTTTCTTAAAACATAAGACATTGAAAACAATAAAATTTATTAACAAACAACATACATAATAACCAATATAATTATAGTATAACTATCTGTATAACTGTCTCGCCACGTAAAATAAGGCAAATTCAATTCAATTCAATTCAATCTGTAATTCCAGTGCTCAGCACAAGTGGCTTCGTAGTGGTCTTTCCACCATGGGGCTATCCCACATTTTTTCATGAAATTTAATTATTTGCATTAAAATAACTTCAAAAATTATTCTTTTTGAGTAATATTTTAAGTAAATCCAGTATTTACATATATGCAAGTAGTATACTGTGTCTACTGTGTTATATTACGGAAGTTCGAGAAAACTCTCAACATCTCAGAACTAGGTCAATGCCCCTTGTTGCCTTGAGCTTTTCAATCAAATTTAATTGTGTATTGAAATATATTATTATATATAATATATTCTAACGTTTTAAAATTATAATATAAAAATTTGAAGTATTTATTTGCTTCATTAATATTTTTAAGCTCGACCACTGATAAATGATATTTGTGACCACAACTTTGTGAGGCCAATAGAGAAACTATTTTTCTTCTTTCAAAGATTTAACTGCAGTTTTAACGTATACTTGTCTTCCTTCGGAATTTTCATTGTTATGGCACGAATAACAATGGTTACCAAATGGTCAAGTCTTCCAATTTTGATACGACGATAGCTCTGATGCTGTTAATTAAGTTTTCGTTCTAACGCGTCTTCTTTCCATTTATCTTAAATATAAATATTTTTAACAGAAAATATTGTTAAACTACCCAACGAGTTTTCAACAAACATTTAAAAAAATAATCATATCACACATCTAAGTACATGTGTTAGTATTTTTCTTCGACTTCACGTGAACGAAAAATATAAACGGTAGTTGATCACAGAAACGCCTAGTTTAAATGTTTCTTTCACGAACTCACTTAAATTAGAAGCCCGAGTATGGCGTTCAGGGAACACGTCTAGCTATGAAGTAGTCACGTATTTTTCGTCTTTAAATTTATCAACGATCAAGCAGGCGTCACACAAGTGCTTTAGTATATGGTGTTTTTCAAATAGGGGAAATCCAACACTAGGGCGTATATGGACACAATACGTTCCTTCCTTCACGTGTCTGTCAGGTCAAGACAAGTCGATAACGACTTGTTCAGCGCGTTATCTATGACGTTGCAGATCTGTCTTTCTGTGTGTCTAAGATAAGAATCTTTAGCCGAGAATTTCAGGAATGTTGAGAAAAATCGAAGGAAAGCCTGTTTCGCACTTAAGAAGTAGGTGTGAAAATGCATTCACGTAATAGAAAGAACATTGAAGCATCTTTTCCACATTTCCGTTTTATTAAAAAGAAATATCCGCTAATGTGTAGGATCGTCTTGATTTAATATTCATAACTTGTTCGTATCAATTGATTAACAATACTTACTTAGAATATAGAATACTTAGAAAAGAGGTAGGTGTACAAAAAATCGTAAATAGTGACGATATAAATCAAAGGCTACGAACAGCTTTGAAGAGTAGAATGACGATTTGAAAAATCATCTGTCGAAAAGAAGAGAAATATGAATCCCATATAGAGAGCGCCTGAGAAAGAAAAGCGATTTGGAGGAAGAAGGAAAAGGAATAAAGGACGTACGTGAGGAGTGGAAAAGAAAGATCACAGAAGAGAGATGGAAAAAAGATATGACGAGGTTATGAAGTATCAAAACGAGAAAAAGCGTACGATTTCATTCTCAAAGTTAACACGGGAAATAAAAAATGGAAACAATTAAGGAAATGTATGAGGAAATCAATAGAATATTTTTCTACATCTCCTCAAGCTAATGGTCGGGGATACGAGGGAATTCGATGAATACGAGACCGCGAGAAGAAGTTCTGAAACCAAAGAGAAACGGGTGACCACGAGAAGCAAACAGGTGTTAATAAGAAAATAGCCATACAGAGGAGTCGTGTGTAATTCGCATTCCGATGTCTGGTCGCTGGAGGCCGAGAGTGATAAGAGGAATAGAAATATTCCGTACCGCTTTCAGCGCCGTCTGTACACAAACAGTACCTAGCCTGAGTACTTTTAGATCAGCTAACCGTTGACTAAGTTTTGTAAATAAAAATAATAAGTCAAAATTCCACACTTAAAAATTTTAAAATATCTATATTTAAAAAACAACAACAAAAAAACAACAACAAACAAACAATAAAACGATGGGTTTTCAGGTAGAAACAGATTTGAACTTTCTACTCAACCGAATTTCGAAATTTTTTATTTAAATGGAAGGTAGAGGACCCTATATGCTCTTATTAACTGGTTTTATAGTTAAAACACTACAATTTTATAATACATTAAAATTAATAGTATGAACGCTTATCTGCCGTCATTTGTTCATTATGTCATTTTCAAGACCCACTATAATGCAAGGATATCATTGCATCAGGATGTTATAGTTGGCGAAACGAAGATAGCAAGTGTTTTAAGTTCACAGATTAACTACTTTTAAATGAAAAGGTTAGTGAGTATATCTGAATAAAATCAATGTCCAGCAATCATTTGACACATCTGACCCTTTACAAAAATTTTCCAGCGTTTATACTAATAAATGCATTTCATTTTTGGGTTTTAGTGGGTAGCAGGATATCCTACAACCCTACAGCAAACAGGTACAGATCGAAGTAAAGATCATTTGTGTTACAGTTTCGGAAACTCTGAGTTGACACAGAATAGTGTGATTGTATTGTTCCAAAATTTGTAAGCCACTCTTTTATAATCAGTTTTGGAGAATAAGAACGACACGAAACAATCTTTTCTTGCGTTTTCGATTTTCCATACGTGCATATGTCGTGCTTTCAGGTTATAACTTTTCTACAGTTCTTTTTGTGCGATGTAACTGTGGAGATTCAGCTAGTTTTATTTATATTCGATTGCAGATACATTACTAACATTTCCTCGCGCAGTATTAATTTAAACATTTCCCTCCTAACCTACAACAGGCTTGAACTATTGACAACCATTCGCTTCAGACCACTACGCCATATTTCTGGAAGGACTGTGGCGCCTGCAACGGGGGTTTGCGGCGTCGCCCCGGCAGCTTTTCTCCAACCGTTCGCAGCGGAATTCCGTCGGCCAGCCACAGCCGCCCGTGCGGAGAGCTCCCCCCCCCCCCCCACACCTCTGATGAGCAGAGCCGTGCCCAGCGTAGCTGGTGGACGAAACGAGTCCCCCGAACAATTCGAGACAATATAAACCGGACGGCACAACCTGGCCGTTTTCTCTCAAAGCTCGAGTTCTTCGAGTATTTTTAGAATTGGTTTGAAGGTCCTTTATTTTTTTTGGCAGACTAATGTGTCTCATAATTCTTATTGAATAATTTTAAAATTTTCTTTCGAACCATCAAGTTCTTTGACTTTTTGACACTGGGAAACAAAATTTCAAAACTTGCTTCTAGTAAAATAAATGTCTATAAAATGTAAAATAATAGCAATTTACGATATAAGAGAGTAAATGAGTTTTTATTCGCGAGAGGAAAGTTTAGGCGATGATCGATGCCAAAGGGTTTAATTTTCATGAGTGAATGAAATATTTTTACTCTCGACTGCCATACATTATTTTATCTATTACTACGTTTTTCAAAAATTTATTCACATATTCATGTATAACTATAGATAGACGTAGTCGCCATTCCAATGTTTGCTATTTTGTTGTTGTATGATACATAAAAAATAGTGAATTAAAACTTTTAAAAGTGATTTAGAAAAAATCACAAGTGAATACAAGTTTTGTTTATACTGTCAGGGACGACATAAAAGCCTGTTTTGGCAGCTGTAATGGATGAAACTATTTTTTTCGTTTTATTTATGACAATTAGTAATTCGGATACATGCACTTGGTTGTGCTGGTTTGATGGATACGAAGTAAGCTTTTTTATTAAATGACGATGGCAGGTGTAGCAAGTAATTTTGAGATTTAATATTTACAACTCACTTCTAAAGCATACGCTTGTACATACGCATATGGTACTGTTTACGTTCTATTGGGAGATGGTTAAATAAAACAATCTGAAATTGTCAATGTTTCGGCTTTTATTAAGCCTTCATTCGGACAATGCTTTTAAAGCCATCTCAACAATTCCATCTCGCTCCCACTCACTCGTACAATCCGTAATAATTCATACATTGGCTACCTAAAATTTATATTCAAGGATTCATTCGATTAAGGTTAATAAATGCCGAAACGTCAATTTAAAAAAAAATTGACCTCAACCAAATGAAATGGTAAAAAAGACGACAAGGATAATATGCGTGAATTACGGTAGTATACTAGGATTTATTTAACCGTGCACTTGATATAAATCAGCTGT